ACCAGTAAGAATTCCGGCTCTCACAGACCTGTTAGTTTTTCTTTAAGAAGCCCTCCTGTTCTCCACTCATTACCTGTATTAACTGCACCTGTTTGAACACGTTACCTGTATAAAAGACACCTGTCCACACACTCAATCAAACAGACTCCAACCTCTCCACAATGGCCAAGAACAGAGAGCTGTGTAAGGACATCAGGGATAAAATTGTAGACCTGCACAAGGCTGGGATGGGCTACAGGACAATAGGCAAGCAGCTTGGTGAGAAGGCAAAAACTGTTGGCGCAATTATTAGAAAATGGAAGAAGTTCAAGATGAAGGTCAATCACCCTCGGTCTGGGGCTCCATGCAAGATCTCACCTCGTGGGGCATCAATGATCATGAGGGATCAACCCAGAACTACACGGCAGGACCTGGTCAATGACCTGAAGAGAGCTGGGACCACAGTCTCAAAGAAAACTATTAGTAACACACTACGCCGTCATGGATTAAAATCCTGCAGCGCACGCAAGGTCCCCCTGCTCAAGCCAGCGCATGTCCAGGCCCGTCTGAAATTTGACCATCTGGATGATCCAGAGGAGGAATGGGAGAAGGTCATGTGGTCTGATGAGACAAAAATAGAGCTGTTTGGTCTAAACTCCACTCGCCGTGTTTGGAGGAAGAAGAAGGATGAGTACAACCCCAAGAACACCATCCCAACCGTGAAGCATGGAGGTGGAAACATCATTCTTTGGGGATGCTTTTCTGCAAAGGGGACAGGACGACTGCACCGTATTGAGGGGAGGATGGATGGGGCCATGTATTGCGAGATCTTGGCCAACAACCTCCTTCCCTCAGAAAGAGCATTGAAGATGGGTCGTGGCTGGGTCTTCCAGCATGACAACGACTCAACACACAGCCAGGGCAACTAAGGAGTGGCTCCGTAAGAAGCATCTCAAGGTCCTGGAGTGGCCTAGCCAGTCTCTAGACCTGAACCCAATAGAAAATGTTTGGAGGGAGCTGAAAGTCCGTATTGCCCAGCGACAGCCCCGAAACCTGAAGGATCTGGAGAAGGTCTGTATGGAGGAGTGGGCCAAAATCCCTGCTGCAGTGTGTGCAAACCTGGTCAAGACCTACAGGAAACGTATGATCTCTGTAATTGCAAACAAAGGTTTCTGTACCAAATATTAAGTTCTGCTTTTCTGATGTATCAAATACTTATGTCATGCAATAAAATGCAAATTAATGACTTAAAAATCATACAATGTGATTTTCTGGATTTTTGTTTTAGATTCCGTCTCTCACAGTTGAAGTGTACATATGATAAAAATTACAGACCTCTACATGCTTTGTAAGTAGGAAAACCTGCAGAATCGGCAGTGTATCAAATACTTGTTCTCCCCACTGTATTTACATTTTACATTTTAGTCACTTAGCAGACACTCTTATCCAGAGCAACTTACATGAGCAATTAGGGTTAAGTGCCTTGCTCAAGGGCACATCGACAGATTTTTCACCTAGTCGGCTCGGGGATTAGAACCAGCACCCTTTCGGTTACTGGCACAACGGTCTTAACCACTAATCTACCTGCCGCCCATATGAGATGAGTAATACAAGATATGTAAACATTAAAGTGGCTAGTGTTTTCTAGTCTATGTCTATAGGCAGCAGCCTATAATGTGCTAGTGATGGCTGTTTAACAGTCTGATGGCCTTGAGATAGAAGCTGGTTTTCAGTCTCTTGGTCCCAGCTTTGATTCACCTGTACTGATCTCGCCTTCTGGATGATAGCGGGGTGAACAGGCAGTGGCTCGGGTTGTTGATGTCCTTGATGATCTTTTTGGCCTTCCTTTGACGTCGGGTGCTGTAGGTGTCCTGGAGGGCGGGTAGTTTGCCCCCGGTAATGCGTTGGGCAGACAGCACCACCCTCTGGAGAACCTTGCGGTTGCTGGCGGTGCAGTTGCTGTACCAGGCGGTGATGCAGCCCGACAGGATGCTCTCAATTGTGCATCTGTAAAAGTTTGTGAGGGTTGTAGGTGCCAAGCCAAATTTCTTTAGCCTCCAGATGTTGAAGACGCTCTGTTGCGCCTTCTTCACCACACTGTCTGTGTGGGTGGTCCATTTGTTTGTCAGTGACGTGTACGCCAAGGAACTTGAAGCCCACCAAGTGGAAGAAGTGGGTGCTCAGGGTGATAAATACGTTTCCCACTAGTAATTACCAGTTTGAGGGTTATTCAAGTGGATTTTTGCCATTCGTATGTGGTAAATTCCCACTTCCAAAAGAAAAGGAGAGCCGCACACTCTAGGAGCTCAGATGCAATAATTTAATAACCTAAAAACCAACGTTTCGACAGACAAGCTGTCTTCATCAGGGTATAATGATTCCCACTTCCCACATGGTTACAAATGCACTATGACACTGCCTCCTTCAGTGCCAGATGCACACTTGTGAATCTCCATAAATGGGGCATGTCTGTAGCACAGCGACATCTCCCACTCTGATAGGCTTTCACTGTTAAAAGTATGTGCAACACAGGGTGCATTGGCCAATTCATTGAAAGCTTTGGGTATATAGAGTGGGTACTACCTGTTTGCTGAAATGGGTGCAAGAGGGAAGTTTGTAACGTGGTTGGAGCATTTTCATGAGGAGCTGGAATATGGTTCTGTATGGCTCAGTTGGTAGAGCATGGCGCTTGCACCGCCAGGTTTGTGGGTTCGCTTCCCGGGGCCACCCATACATAAAATGTATGCAAGCATGACTATAAGTCGCTTTGGATAAAAGCGTCTGCTAAATGGCATATATTAAATATGAATATGGAGCTGGATTACCTGCCAAAAGGTTGAACAAACGTAACATTAGGATCGTAAGAAAATCCATACATAAATTGTTAGGATCGTAAGAAAAGCCATGCATGAAACGTGAAATGTAATCTGTGAACATACCAACACCATGTTACGACTACTGACTAACATTCTAGGCTTGAATAAATCTTGTGATGTAATTCGTACAATAATACCTTTCAGAGATCCTGGCAGTTTCATCTCACCAACAAAAAAAACTTACACCAAGTGGCCTGTGAGGTGTGCTACGAGAACAAGCATAACACAGCATAAAAAGCGGAGGTCAGGGAAACCGGAAAGGGGTATCCTGCACGTTTTCAAGTTGTCTCTATTCTCTATTATTCAGTTGGGTTTACTTCACATTTAGGTAGCTAATGTAATGGATTTGTTTGCCAGCCCAAGTCTAGATAGCACTAAGATGTATTATGCCTACAACAGGGAAGTTTTAGTTCCCTGGGTGTATCTCTACAGCATGGGCATCCCCATGCATGTACCTTATCAAAATGCAGTGCATTCGGAAAGTATTCAGACCCCATGACTTTTCCACATTTTGTTACGTTACAGCCTTATTCTAAAATGGATTAAATAAAAAAAATTCCTCATCAATCTACACACAATACCCCATAATGACAAAGTGAAACAGTTTTTTTGAAATTTTTGCAAGTGAATACCAAAAACAACCCAGATACCTTATTTACATAAGTATTCAGACACTTTTCTATGAGACTTGAAATTGAGCTCAGGTGCATCCTGTTTCCATTGATCATCCTTGAGATGTTTCTACAACTTGATTGGAGTCCACCTGTGGTAATTTCAATTGATTGGACATGATTTGAAAAGGCACACACCTGTGTATGTAAGGTCCCACAGTTGACAGTGCATGTCAGAGCAAAAACCAAGCCATGAGGTCGAAGGAATTGTCCGTAGAGCTCCAAAACATGATTGTGTCGAGGCACAGATCTGGGGAAGGGTACCAAAACATTTCTGCAGCATTGAAGGTCCCCAAGAACACAGTGGCCTCCAACATTCTTTAAATGGAAGAAGTTTGGAACCACCAAGACTCTTCCTAGAGCTGGACCCAGCCAAACTTAATTGCAAAAGGGTTTTCTAATGATCAATTAGCCTTTTAAAATGATAAACTTGGATTAGCAAACACAATGTGCCATTGGAACACAGGACTGATGGTTGCTGATAATGGGCCTCTGTACGCCTATGTAGATATTCCATAAAAAATCTGCCGTTTCCAGCTACAATAGCCATTTACAACATTAACAATGTCTACACTGTATTTCTGATCAATTTGATGTTATTTTAATGGACAAAAAAATTGCTTTTCTTTCGTAAACAAGGACATTTCTAAGTGACCCCAAACTTCTGAATGGTAGTGTATGTTCAACCTTTTGGCAGCTATCTTGCTCCATACTGAAATGCCCTATCAGCAGCTATAAACCAAAGACTGTAAAAAATGTAAACACAGCCTACCTATTGCTCTTGTAATTTCTTTGGCCCGGTCAGAATCAGCTGCCAAGGGCTGCTTGAATGACGATGTGTTGTGTTTTGCGTTTCTGTCTTGCTCTGGTTTACTGGGGTGATGTCGGCATAAATCCGTCAACATATTTGAGGTGTTGGCAGCTGTATAGGCTATTGTCGTTGTGCGCAGCGAATTACTGTTAACGTTTTATCAACAACTGTCCATCGCCATTGTAATCTACTGGGAAGCCAACATTTTCCCAAACTGGAGATTTTAAACGATGATGGAGGATCCTCCAATTCTGGTTGATCGACTCCACCACTCGCAACCGTACAGAACTAGTTCCTGGCTGCGCCTCACAAAAGGACAGTTTGAAATGCGCCAATTAAGATTAGAATTCTGATTACAATGTGCGCATAGGCTGTAGTTGTTTTAACGGAATAGCCCGAAATGTTTTTTTACAGCTAAGATTTACTCGAGACAATAGGACTACAACGCAGTGTAGTGTTATCATTTTGAATTAAAACAATTTATGTATTCATTCGGGTTCACAGTGCGGTCCGAACAGAGGTCCCCATGTACCGTTACACCTCATTTTTGTTATATGTTGACAGTTGTATTTGTTTTTGATCATTCAATCAATTGAAATTACATCCCGCAACTGTGGTTTCTTGTTTTTAAATCAGGAACTTCTGTAACTGCAAGCACGCCTGATGTCTGCCGAGGCTTCTGCAGGGAGTGTGGCAGCTGCCTCCGTCCCCACCACCCAGTCCTCTGGCCGGGGCAGCGAGGAGAAGGGGGTTGGAGGGGGTCTGGCGGGGAGTAAATATGTGAAGCTGAATGTTGGGGGCTCCCTGCATTACACCACGGTACAGACCCTGAGTAAAGAGGACGGTCTACTAAGGAGCATGTGCAATGGAGGAGCAGAGGTCACCATAGATTCGGAGGGTAGGTATGGACCTATGTGTATTATTTATGTATGCCAGTGTTTCCCAATATGTTATTCTAGGATCACGCAGGCTTGCACATCTTTGTTCCAGTCCAGCACTACCACACTTGATACAACTATTCAACTAATGGTCACCAATGTTGGGAATCAGGTGTGCCAATGCTGGAAGAAAACGTGTAGTCCTAATGGAGCCAAAGGAACGGATTGGAAACACTGGGCCGTGTTCAGCAAGGCATAACGGTGTGCAACATGCAATTTCATGGAAACAGTGCTGCACTGAATGATCAGTTGAAGAATATTGTGATTTATGATGGCTCAGAGGGCAATTTTGTGCAGTGTGCTGGTTTTGATTTTTCAAATGGTCACACCCATATTGGTTAGTTCACACCCACCACATGGGAGCAAACATACCTCGAAGACTGAATAACGGTGCACACCATTTTGGGAAAACATGTCGCTCAGTACAAACCGTTTACTCCCGTTTTGCAGCGTGTGACGGGATGTGACTTATTTACCTTTTTGTTTTCTCCATATTCTCAGGAATGACTAAAGCAATCGCCACATGGAAAAATTTGAAATTTAGATGAGATTGATTCTTGCCTATGTCTAATCTGTTCTCACTCCTTCTCAATCTTTTTCCTCTCCTTTAGGCTGGGTAGTGTTGGACAGGTGTGGTCGCCATTTTGGCTTGGTGCTGAACTTTATGCGGGACGGCTCGGTACCGCTTCCGGAGTCCCACCGAGAGCTGGAGGAAGTTCTGAAGGAAGCTCAGTACTACAGGGTGCAGGGACTAGTCCAGCACTGCACCTCTGCCATGCAGGTAAGACCCAGACTGACCCAACAAAAATTATAATTGTGTGTAAAGCACTGAGCTGAGTGTCAGTATTATTAAATGTCCTTCGCTCTTTGTGTTTGTCTTTGAGCTAAGTCTTATCAAATGCTTTCAAAGTGCAATATACTGTATGTGAGTCAAATAACTGTTATGCACTAATCTAATCTCTCTAATGCTTACATTGGATCCCAATGTTTGTGTGTTGAATACCCAGGCCAAAGTGTCAGAAGCCTCCCATAGTGTGAGTCAGAAGCCTCCCATAGTGTGAGTCAGAAGCCTCCCATAGTGTGAGTCAGAAGCCTCCCATAGTGTGAGTCAGAAGCCTCCCATAGTGTGAGTCAGAAGCCTCCCATAGTGTGAGTCAGAAGCCTCCCCCATAGTGTGAGTCAGATGTTCATGTGAATCAAATGCCTTCGATGTCCCACAGAAACAAAGGGACGTCTATGAGGGTGTATGCCGCATTCCCATGATTACCTCAGCCAAAGAAGAACAGAGAATGATAACCACCTGCAGGAAGGTGAGAGAGGGATAGAAAGAGGGTGGGTGAATGGGAGGGAGGACGGGCATAGGTAGGAAGGCTGTCCATTACAGATGGCAGACTGGTTTGACTTTAAATGCTTACTTAGATCTCCGACCTTAGCTCTGGTATCATTGCTTAGCTTTAGCTCTCATACTGATTTTTATGTCGATGTGAGTTTAGATTTTCTATTGCCTTGTGTAAAGTGTCTGAGTGTTCTGAAAAGCGCTATACAAACAAAAGTTATTATTATTATTAAAATGGACCCTCAACATTTTTCAGCAGCTTAACTTTTCCAAATTATCAGAAAATGCTCAATATTTGCTACTGTTACATTAGTTCTAATGTTTCCTGTCTCCCACAGCCTGTAGTAAAACTACAGAACAACAGAGGGAACAACAAGTATTCGTACACCAGGTAATATTTTTATTTTTTATTTAACCTTTACTGACACCAAGGTCTCTTTTACAGATGAGCCCTGAATTACAGAAAATACACATCAAAATACAAATGCAAGCAGAAAGAAAGAAAACATGGTCATAAAAACAAACACATGCATCAGTAATAAGGTCATCAATCAGCTTTCTGAATTGCCCTAGAGGCACCAAAACATCCAATTTAAGAACATTTTGAAGATTGTTCCACAAATAAGGTGGAAGAAAACTAAAAGCTGATTTACCTAACTCAGTAGAGAGACCAAAGGAATCTCCAGAGTTAGCCATCCCTGAGACCCAGGTGTGTAACTCATACAGTGGGGAGAACAAGTATTTGATACACTGCCGATTTTGCAGGTTTTCCTACTTACAAAGCATGTAGAGGTCTGTAATTTTTATCATAGGTACACTTCAACTGTGAGAGACGGAATCTAAAATAAACATCCAGAAAATCACATTGTATGATTTTTAAGTAATTAATTTGCATTTTATTGCATGACATAAGTATTTGATACATCAGAAAAGCAGAACTTAATATTTGGTACAGAAACCTTTGTTTGCAATTACAGAGATCATACGTTTCCTGTAGGTCTTGACCAGGTTTGCACACACTGCAGCAGGGATTTTGGCCCACTCCTCCATACAGACCTTCTCCAGATCCTTCAGGTTTCGGGGCTGTCGCGGGGCAATACGGACTTTCAGCTCCCTCCAAAGATGTTCTATTGGGTTCAGGTCTAGAGACTGGCTAGGCCACTCTAGGACCTTGAGATGCTTCTTACGGAGCCACTCCTTAGTTGCCCTGGCTGTGTGTTTCGGGTCGTTGTCATGCTGGAAGACTAAGCCACGACCCATCTCCAATGCTCTTACTGAGGGAAGGAGGTTGTTGGCCAAGATCTCGCGATACATGGCCCCATCCATCCTCCCCTCAATACGGTGCAGTCGTCCTGTCCCCTTTGCAGAAAAGCATCCCCAAAGAATGATGTTTCCACCTCCATGCTTCACGGTTGGGATGGTGTTCTTGGGGTTGTACTCATCCTTCTTCTTCCTCCAAACACGGCGAGTGGAGTTTAGACCAAAAAGCTCTATTTTTGTCTCATCAGACCACATGACCTTCTCCCATTCCTCCTCTGGATCATCCAGATGGTCATTGGCAAACTTCAGACGGGCCTGAACATGCGCTGGCTTGAGCAGGGGGACCTTGCGTGCGCTGCAGGATTTTAATCCATGACGGCGTAGTGTGTTACTAATGCTTTTCTTTGAGACTGTGGTCCCAGCTCTCTTCAGGTCATTGACCAGGTCCTGCCGTGTAGTTCTGGGCTGATCCCTCACCTTCCTCATGATCATTGATGCCCCACGAGGTGAGATCTTGTATGGAGCCCCAGACCGAGGGTGATTGACCGTCATCTTGAACTTCTTCCATTTTCTAATAATTGCGCCAACAGTTGTTGCCTTCTCAACAAGCTGCTTGCCTATTGTCCTGTAGCCCATCCCAGCCGTGTGCAGGTCTACAATTGTATCCCTGATGTCCTTACACAGCTCTCTGGTCTTGGCTATTGTGGAGAGGTTGGAGTCTGTTTGATTGAGTGTGTGGACAGGTGTCTTTTATACAGGTAATGAGTTCAAACAGGTGCAGTTAATACAGGTAATGAGTGGAGAACAGGAGGGATTCTTAAAGAAAAACTAACAGGTCTGTGAGAGACGGAATTCTTACTGGTTGGTAGGTGATCAAATACTTATGTCATGCAATAAAATGCTAATTAATTACTTAAAAATCATACAATGTGATTTTCTGGATTTTTGTTTTAGATTCCGTCTCTCACAGTAGAAGTGTACCTATGATAAAAATTACAGACCTCTACATGCTTTGTAAGTAGGAAAACCTGCAAAATCGGCAGTGTATCAAATACTTGTTCTCCCCACTGTATGTCTAAAGTTTAGTAATGATGTTTGGTATAGTGGGAGTTTTTGTAAAAGCTTTTATGAATGAAAACATAGCAATGATTCAACCTACGTGACATCAAAGAGGGCCAACCAGCTTTCTGGTAGAGAATGCAGTGATGAGTACTAAAACTGTTGCCCGTAATAAAGCGCAGTGTGCTATGATAAACTGCATCTGCACGGCTTTAGTGAAGTGGCAGCTGCATTCATCTAGATGATGTCGCCATAGTCTAGGATCGATAGGAAAGCTGACTGAATAATCAGCTTTCTATAGAAGAAGCCCATTTGTATTCTCAGCTTCTTAACTAACTCATCAATATGCTTTTTAAAAGACAGCTTTTCAACTATCCCAGATATTTATAAGCAGGGACACGATCAATATGGGCACCATCCAAAGTACATATGCTTAAATCATCAGTTATTTTTATGCGCTCTAGAGAACAACCTGTACTTAGTTTTACCTGTATTCAATACTAATTTCAGGCCAGTTTTTCTGTAATACAATGAAAGCATACTGTAGTTCCGATAGAGCCTGGTCAACCGTTGGTGGCAATGGCATACACAACAGTATCATTGGTGCGGCATACAAGTGCAGGTTACAATCTTTTACAGAAAAGTCAATATTGTTAATGTAAACAGTACAAAGTACAGGACCCAGAATCGACCCCTGCACGACACCTATGTCCAGATTTAACACCATCAGTAGATACACATTTGAGTTCCATCTTTCAAGTAATTTTTAAACCAGTTACAGTGAGGGGAAAAAGTATTTGATCCCCTGCTGATTTTGTACGTTTGCCCACTGACAAAGACATGATCAGTCTAATTTTAATGGTAGGTTTATTTGAACAGTGAGAGACAGAATAACAACAAAAAAATCCAGAAAAATTGTTATGAATTGATTTGCATTTTAATGAGGGAAATAAGTATTTGACCCCTCTGCAAAACATTACTTAGTACTTGGTGGCAAAACCCTTGTTGGCAATCACAGAGGTCAGACGTTTCTTGTAGTTGGCCACCAGGTTTGTACACACCTCAGGAGGGATTTTGTCCCACTCCTCTTTGCAGATCTTCTCCAAGTCATTAAGGTTTCGAGCCTGACATTTGGCAACTCGAACCTTCAGCTCCCTCCACATATTTTCTATGGGATTAAGGTCTGGAGACTGGCTAGGCCACTCCAGGACCTTAATGTGCTTCTTCTTGAGCCACTCCTTTGTTGCCTTGGCCGTGTGTTTTGGGTCATTGTCATGCTGGAATACCCATCCACGACCCATTTTCAATGCCCTGGCTGAGGGAAGGAGGTTCTCACCCAAGATTTGACGGTACATGGCCCCGTCCATTGTCCCTTTGATGCGGTGAAGTTGTTCTGTCCCCTTAGCAGAAAATCACCCCCAAAGCATAATGTTTCCACCTCCATGTTTGACGGTGGGGATGGTGTTCTTGGGGTCATAGGCAGCATTCCTCCTCCTCCAAACACGGCAAGTTGAGTTGATGCCAAAGAGCTCGATTTTGGTCTCATCTGACCACAACACTTTCACCCAGTTCTCCTCTGAATCATTCAGATGTTCATTGCAAAACTTCAGTCGGGCCTGTATATGTGCTTTCTTGAGCAGGGGGACCTTGCGGGCGCTGCATGATTTCAGTCCTTCACGGCGTAGTGTGTTACCAATTGTTTTCTTGGTGACTATGGTCCTCCCATGTAGTTCTGGGCTGATTCCTCACCGTTCTCATGATCATTGCAACTCCACGAGGTGAGATCTTGCATGGAGCCCCAGGCCGAGGGAGATTGACAGTTATTTTGTGTTTCTTCCATTTGCGAATAATCGCACCAACTGTTGTCACCTTCTCACCAAGCTGCTTGGCGATGGTCTTGTAGCCCATTCCAGCCTTGTGTAGGTCTACAATCTTGTCCCTGACATCCTTGGAGAGCTCTTTTGTCTTGGCCATGGAGGAGAGTTTGGAATCTGATTGATTGATTGCTTCTTTGGACAGGTGTCTTTTATATAGGTAACAAACTGAGATTAGGAGCACTCCCTTTAAGAGTGCGCTCCTAATCTCAGCTCGTTACCTGTATAAAAGACACCTGGGAGCCAGAAATCTGTCTGACTGAGAGGGGGTCAAATCCTTATTTCCATCATTAAAATGCAAATCAATTTAACATTTTTGACATGCGTTTTTCTGGATTTTGTTGTTGTTATTCTGTCTCTCACTGTTCAAATAAACATACTGTTAAATTTATAGACTGATCATTTCTTTGTCAGTGGGCAAACGTACAAAATCAGCAGGGGATCAAATACTTTTTTCCCTCAATGTATGTGTTGTTCAACGTAGGCCTACATTCCATGAGACTTTTAAAAAAAATTATGCAGGGCTTGACATTAACCTTGATATTACTTGTCCTAAAGCCCAAGTAATTTGTCCAAACAAAACAAAAAAGGTCTGTAAACACCATTGGCGTAATAGGTGACTGGAACTGCGTTGTAGGCTTTTGTGTTTGTGTATGATGCAAGAAACTACTTTACTAAATCAAATTAATGTATTATTACAATAGAGAATCAGACAAAAATGTAGGCTACCCTCTGCCTATTGGCTTTTTTTGCATATTCAAGCCTGTCTCAAAATACAACACTGCTCTTTTAAGAC